TCAATTCTCCCCCCCCCTTCCCTACCATTGTTGTAGCGTGGCCGAGCCCTCTATTGGTCTGCGGGTACAGGTAGCTTTTGTTTCCTGTACCTGGCCGGACTAACAGGAAGTGCTCACTCAGTGTGCACTTCCTGTTAGTCCGGCCGGGTACAGGAGACAGATGCTCCCTGTACCCACGGACCAATAGAGGGCATGGCCACGCTACAGTGAGGGTGTGACAGGAGGGAGCGCTGAGCGTTTCCCTCCTGTCAGCCCCTATCCTCAGGCTGTGCCCGGGCGGTGCGGTCAGCCCTCATGGACGCACCACTCGGGCAAAGCTGCAGCCACCTGAGGCTCTCTACAGAGCGCTCAGGCAGCTGCAGCATGATGGGGGCCGGTGCTCCTGGCGGCGCCCCTTCCCAAGGGGCGCCCTAGGCGGCTGCCTAGTACGCCTAACAGGTAGCGCCAGCCCTGGGTGTCCCTTATATAGGGGAGTGAATTAATTTAAGCCCCTCCCACAAATACAGGCCAAACGGCCTTAATACATATATATATATATATATATATATATATATATATATATCAAAAACCGAAAAGGTTATGGTGGGGAAAAAATTGTGATTGAAAACCTCTTCAACCTAAAGTCACGGGGTTAAATATGGGGCTTGCCAATTAAATTCTCTGGGCTGTCTGCTTGGGTTGTCAGGCAGGTCCCTCAAATTATAATTAATAAAATCAAATAATTATGTAAAATTAATAGTTAAATATATATGTAAAATGTGTGTATTTATATAAACCCACTTACTTGGGGAAAAAATTCCATCTGGGGCTCTTTGCAGTACAAGGCTAAATAGGGCTCTAAGATGAGGCACCTGTGACAGGGAGGGGTGCAAAACCAAGGAGTAAGTGGGTTAATCTCATAAGAGCAGATATTAGGCTGATAGTGAAGGACCTGCCAAAGATGGGTACATTGACGTTGTGGCAGGCTTATGCAATGTATGATAATATAATGTAACTAAACCCCTTGTATTGCAGAGAGCCCCAGATGGAATTTTTTCCCCAAGTAAGTGGGTTAATCTCATAAGAGCAGCAATTAGGCTGTTAGTGTAGGACCTGCCAAAGATGGGGTACAATAATGTAACTAAACCCCCATTATTTTTGCCTAGATTAGGTGTTTTTAAAAAAAACAAACAAATAAAATATTTCAACATTGAAGTTGCTGTTTAGTGGATAGGTGAGTGCGCTGGATCTTGTATGTATATATATATATATATATATATATATATATATATATTATTATTATTTTATTATTTATATAGCGCCAACAAATTCCGTAGCGCTGTACAATGGGTGGACACATAATTGAGATCATACCACTGGACGTACAGGAACAGAGGGGGTTGATGGCCCTGCTCGATGAGCTTACATGCTAGTGGGAGTGGGGTATAGTGACACAAAGGGTTAAAGTAGGGTAATTACATAGTTTGTTAGAGAAGGGTTTATTGAGTGCTTGGTAGGTCATTGTTGACAGTTGCAGGAAAGGAGTCATGGGGTGGGGGATGAGAAACCTGCTGACAGTTTAATTGATACGCTTTAATGAAGAAGTGAGTTTTCAAAGATTTTTTGAAGGAGTGGAGGCTGGGTGAAAGTCTGATTGAGGAGGGAAGGGAGTTCCACAGAATAGGTGCAGCCCTGGAGAAGTCTTGAAGGCGAGCATCAGAGGTGGGGATCCGGGCAGAGGATAGGCGTAGGTCTTGGGCTGAGCGCAGGGGTCTCGACGGGACATACTTGTGTATGAGGGAGGATAGGTATGTTGGAGCAGCATTATGTAGGGATTTGTAAGCAAGCGCCAGAATTTTGAATTGGGCCCTATATCTAACTAGAAGCCAATGCAGGGACTGACAGAGCGTGGAGGCGTGGGAGGTGCGACCGGACAGGAAAATAAGCCTCGCAGCCGCATTCAT